AAGCTAGTCAGTGCAGGCGTCTGTTAGCTGACGTAACAGATCTGGCGGTTGGCGCTTTCCCCCGAGCGCGTTCAGCTGTCCAGTGATGTTCGAAAGTTCGAAAAGATGCCGTGGCGCTTCACAAGTCTCCGAGGAAGCCTGTGCTGCCTTCGCCCTCCTAGCGTTGGTAGTATTGTGTGATTTGGGGAGTCCTAACTAGCGGGTGGAATTGGAAACGACTAAATTGGGGAGAAAAATGGGTAAAAATCCAAAAACAGGGCCAGAACAGGGCCAGATACCAGATAGCTGCCTATGGTTCTGCCTATGGTTTTGCCTCCTGTCTCTATTTTGAGGCAAAACCCTATTCTTGCTCATATGCCTAACATCTGCCCTGTAGTCAACCATTACTTGCATACACTCCTAAAAAAGATGGTTCTTCAACAGTTCCTTAGTAAAGAAAATGGCTCTATATAGAACCATGAACACTCAAGGACTCGTTTGCATGATTAAAGGGTTCTTTGTATGATGAAATGGTTCTTCAGATTGAGGAACAATGTGTTGAATATGGTTTTATATGGAACCTTTTTGAAAAGGGTTCTACAGAGCACCAAGAGTTCTTCTATTGTTATAATGTCAAACTGCAGCACATTCGTGCACATTTTCCATCAGTCTGAACAACACTTTCATGATGCAAAGAACCCTTTAATAGTGCAAGGGGTTCTTTGAGTGTTCATGGTTCTATATAGAACGGTTTTCTTCATGAAAACCCTTCAAGAACCATCGTTTTTAAAAGCGCATTAAAGCCAGAATCAACCCAGATCTGTGTGCTATCTGCGCTGTAGAAAAGCATCTGGCCCAACTCTGGCCAGAGCCGTGTAGCGAAAACTTCAGCATATATTTAATAATTCCGACTGCTGATATATTTAGCAGAAGTCTGTTAATCTAGATGTACTAAAAACATGTGCATGGGATTTTCTTGTAAACTGGAAAGTGTTACAGACTCTTATGTGTGCATTCACTTCCAGGAATTCATGCAAAACAGTAATTGATCAAAAAATAAATAAAACACTGATTAATACAAGTTTGAATGGAAACCCTGCTGCAGGCTGCGTAGTTAGACCAGGAGCAGACATTCGAAGGTTTACCACGATATTCAGCAGACAGATACTGTTACGGCGGACGATCTGAAATGCCATCACTGCATTTTAGTCAAACAAGTTGCAGTTTCACCAGAGATTAATTACATACGCAGAGCAGCTCTGGTTTCACAAGCTCCCACTTCACGGTCGCACTGTGATCTCAGGCTTTATTTGATGTTTGTACAGCTGCTGTAGTGCATAATTGGTGTGAGCACCTTCACAGTGCTGCACTTTCACACTCAGAGTGCCATTCAGAGAAATATGGGTTTATCACGCAGCCCAAAAACATAATGTAGGTGAAATAAAAGACATGATGCTTATTAGGACGGTCAAAAAAAACAGGATTCCATGAAAGACAGAAAATCCGAAAATGTAAAACCGACAACAAATTACTGCTATTAAACAGGTCCATATCATAGAAAACTGAATTTTCCTCTTTTTTTTAAAAAAAAGAGTTTGATGCAGTTCACAATGTGGCGGAGGAGCGCTGCAGCCCACTTAAGGAGGAGCACAGCCGGCAGTTTGTTCTCCAGCTCCTTACACTAAATTCCCAAACTGTCATCACCACTGAGCAGCTTTTCAGTCGGCAGCTGTGACAGAAGAACAGCTGAACAACCTGGAATCAGCCAGAAATTAACCCAATACCATTCACCAAACGTGTAGTCTGATCTTCAGAGTCTGACCAAATCAGACTGAGCCATAAAACTGCCGCAATATGAAGTTTAGCTCGGTTTTGTCAGTTTTTGCCAGATCAGTATTAATGTTGTTTTGTTCCAGCCAGTCTGTAAAGCATCTTACAGCCCATTTAGTTTGGCTAATGGTGTTGGGTTCATTTCTGGCTGATTCCAGGTTGTTCAGCTGTTCTTCTGTCTCAGCTGCCGACTGAAAAGCTGCTCAGTGGTGATGACAGTTTGGGAATTTTGTGTCGTCTCATCTTCAGAGTCTGACCAAATTGGCTGTCGGTCAAATGTGATCTTAAAAATGTCCGTTTTCTTGGCTTGAGCGTCTCCTACAACTGTCAATGCCGTTGCTTAGCAACAGCGTCTCAGCGGAGTGATACAGTGTTTGTGAAAAACCCGTGATGTTGGGTTTTTTTGGGCTGTTATGATGAAATAACAGCACGGTTTGAACACTTCTCAACCGATCAGCTTGCGTGGCCGGAACTAACTGTTGTATAATGTGTGAATAAAGCATGTTAGTTCACTCACACTGGTGTGTGTGTGTGGGAGCATCTGAGCCCTCATTAGGTGTGTCAGCCCCTCCCCAGGCTGGAGCCACAGTAAAATTGTTAAAGTCCCTGATAACATGGTTTAAAACACTGAAACATTGTTTTATAGTAAAGACATGTAGTGGAAAAAAGTGTTTACAAGTGTTATATTCAAGAAATACACTGACTGAGCACTTAATTAGGAACACCTCCTTGTTTCTACACTCCATTTTATCAGCTCCACTGACCATACAGTTTCACTTTCTAGTTCTACAGTTACAGACTGTAGTCCATCTGTTTCTCTGCATACTTTCTAACTCTGTTCTTTAACGGTCAGGACCCCCATGGACCCTCACAGAGCAGGTACTATTTGGGTGGTGGATCATTCTCAGCACTGCAGTAACACTGACGTGGTGGTGGTGTGTTAGTGTGTGTTGTGCTGGTACGAGTGGATCAGACACAGCAGTGCTGCTGGAGTTTTTAAACACTGTGTCCACTCACTGTCCACTCTATTAGACACTCCTACCTTGTCAGTCCACCTTGTAGATGTAACGTCAGAGACGAAAGCTCATCTGCTGCTGCACAGTTTGTGTTGGTCATCCTCTAGTCCTTCATCAGTGGTCACAGGACGCTGCCCACAGGACGCTGTTGGCTGGATATTTTTGGTTGGTGGACTTTTCTTAGTCCAGCAGCGACACTGAGGTGTCTAACAACTCCAGCAGCACTGCTGTGTCTGATCCACTCATACCAGCACAACACACACTAACACACCACCACCACGTCAGTGTTACTGCAGTGCTGAGAATGATCCACCACCCAAATAGTACCTGCTCTGTGAGGGTCCATGGGGGTCCTGACCACTGAAGAACAGGGTAAAAGGGGGCTAACAAAGTATCAGAGAAACAGATGGACTACAGTCTGTAACTGTAGAACTACAAAGTGCACCTATATAGTAAGTGGAGCTGATAAAATGGACAATGAGCGTAGAAACAAGGAGGTGGTCAGAATGTTATGCCTGATCGCTGTATGTGTATTTGTGTCATTCTGTGGTAGCTTGTGGAGTAGTATTACAGTGTTAGTGTCTACCATGAACGGAAAGTGTGTGGTTAGCAGTGACCTGCCTGCTTCAGCAGTTTGTCCCAGCTGCTGTGTTCAATAAAAGAGCATTCGCTTAAAGCGCTATGCTTCCCATGTCCTTTTCTTTGTTGACACGATCCTGCAGCAGGTGGCTAACGCAAGTAGGAAACAGTGTCAGGCTACGCTACAAACAACGCTGTAATAAACCTTCATAAGAAACACCATGAAGAGATGCAGAAAAGCTTAAATAAGCTGCTCGTTGGGAGGGTTGTCAGGGACTTGCAGTATCAGGAGATCAGCCACTTTATCTGAAGGAGAGCTGATGTATACATACTGCTAACTCTCATTGGTGCTTTGGCAGATCTGACCTCACCTGCGCCAAATTTAGTCCCACCAAATCAAATCAAACTGAAGAAAAAGGGCAGAAAAAAGTCATTTCAAAATTCTCTCGACAGAAAAGACCGGCAGCATTGTTTCTCTGCCGTTTCGCTGTAAAAACATCACAAAAACTATAGATAACAGATAGAAGAAAATAAAAATGAGCAGACAGGGGCTTTAAAGTTCACTCCACAGTCCGTATATGGAAACCAAGCTGCAGTCCCCTTTTACATACATACCAGCCTATTCAGACAACAGCTGTTCAGCTCCGTCTCCACTCACACTGTAGTTGTAAGGAGTGTTTCAGCTTTTTGAATAAGACACAGTATAAGGTAGTGCAGGGCAATACAAGCCAATCAGAACAGAGCTCATTTACATATATTAGTCTTAAATGTACAATACAAACAGCCAAGGGATAAAGAGAGGTTGGAAAATGAGCAAGTAGAGATGAAATGCCTGTTTTTGGTACATAAACCAAATAAAATAAACCTTAAAATAAAATTTAGCACATCCAATTGGCTAGTGTTCCGCCTAATGACTGCTGGTATAGGCTCCAGCATCCCTCCACAACCCAGAAGGATAAGCGGCATAGAAAATTATAAAATAAAATAAAAAATGTAACATAAGGGGGGCGGCACGGTGGCACAGTGGGTAGCGCTGTCGCCTCACAGCAAGAATGGCCTGGGTTCGATTCCCGGCTGGGTGCCTGGGGTCATTTCTGTGTGGAGTTTGCCTGTTCTCCCCGTGTCTGTGTGGGTTTCCTCCGGGTACTCCAGTTTCCTCCCACAGTCCAAAAACATGCAGTCAGGCTGATTGGAAATGCTAAATTGCCCCTAGGTGTGAATGTGTGTGTATGTCTGTCTGCCCTGCGATGGACTGGCGACCTGTCCAGGGTGTATCCTGCCTTCCGCCCAATGACAGCTGGGATAGGCTCCAGCACCCCACCGCGACCCAGAAGGATAAGCAGTTTAGATGATGTATGTATGTATGTATGTATGTATGTAACATAAGGGCCCTTTAAAAATGTCACTCAGAACACTACATGTATGTACATGTATCATCTTATACTGTTTTTTTCCAATGTTATGATAAAAGCCATGAAAAGAGGTACTGTAATTAGTGTGATGTTACTTTTTTATACATAAAAGTAGCTTAGAAGTATCAAATACTGATTCATTCATGTCTCTCTCTCTCTCTCTCTCTCTCACTCAGAGTCCTACCTGTGACTGTAGCGCACTGCAATGATGAGTCCGAGCTGTAAGAGGAAAGAGAAAAATGAAATCAATACATGTCAATCAGTACAGTACATGATCAATATTTCCTTTTAACCAAAAGCTACACAACAAAGCAGCACAAAGACGTGTACCAGAGACACACTGATATAGAATTTCTGCACTCATAATGATAAAAATGATAATTAACACTTTGTTATGGCAGATACTTTCAATAATTTGCATTTTCAAAAAACAAACTCATACATGAAGGACAGCGAGTGTAAGACTATACTAATCGAGGAATGGATCAATTATTGATTTTTCTTAGTCATGACAGTTAAATCTGTAAAATCTGTCAAATTAATCACTTAATTGTCATTCAACAGTTTCACTGGTTCAGCTACTGACACAGTATTTCACCATCATAACAACAACAACAGCCATTAAAATGAACGTAAATGTCTGTTTGTTTTGGGAATTTAAATACTGTTTCTGTATATTAACAGCAGTAGTGTTAAACAGGACCTATTATGCCCCCTGTGTCAAACACAAGACCCACGGACCAAGTCAGGCCCGCGGCACAACCGGCCCGCCAAATTATTTTAACTTTCTATTCATATTAGCCCATTTCACTATGAGCTGCACTACAGTTCCCAGCATGCACTGCAACATAATGTGTGCTCCCACTCCCTCCCCAACAACGATCTATGGGACAGCACCACAAAAAAATAAAAAATTAAATAAAAAATGATGGTGTCCAGTTCAAGTGAATGGGCAGTTTTAAAAAGCCTGCTGAACACTGGGGACATTTACAGAGGTTTAACAGTTTAACAGTTATCTGCAGCTACTGTAGCCTATTATTTTATATAAAACACTTTTTTATTTAAAATTATTTTTGAATCGTTCAAGTATTCAGCATTTTTTGCCGTTGTAGTTTTGGCATGTTTTGAATAAACAATGTCCTGTTCAGGTCGTGGCAAAATTAAATAAAGACACAGCTGGCCCACGGATTTGCTGAGATTTTTTAATACGGCCCGTTTAGTGGTTGAGTCTGACACCCCTGTATTATGCTCACAGTGTTCATAACTGTATTTTTGGGCCCTACTAGAATAAATTTACATGCTTTGATGTTCCAAACACACATTATTTTTCTCAGACTGTTCATCTCTAATGCACTGTCTGAAATGCACTGTTAGAGCTCCTGTGTCTTTAAGCACCGCCTCCTGATGAGCCCAGTGTGCTCTGATTGGTCAACTGCCAGTGTGCTCTGATTGGTCAACTGCCGGAGCGGTATCCTGCTACAAGCTCCGCCCCACACTGCTGTGTTCTCAAAGCAGCGTCGGTTCTTTCATATCAGTTTGATCCAGAGTCGATCCTGAAAGTCCGGTACAAGCTGGTAGAGCCGATCCACCTTCGCAAGCTGGACTGGAGCAGGACAGGGAAGCTTTTACTCTGTATCTCTCTGCGTGAGGGGGCGGAGCTCGCTGGTAAGCGGGCAGTAAGGACTGTGTTACAAGATTATGTCATCTTGTAACAAAGGAAAAGGGCTGGAATTCCAACAAGGCGTTTCAGGCAGCTGAGAAAAGAGGGTTCTGTGGGAGAGAGTGTCTCCCTCCGGAGTGAACTCTGAGCTTTGGGACTTTGCAGAACATTTACATGCACAAAAAGATACAACACACTAAAGGAAAGAGGAAAACTGGAAAAGCATAAAAGGTCCACTTTTAAATACTGTAAGCGTATGATTTATTTCCCAAAAACAGTATTTTGACAGTGCTTTTTTTATAGTCTTGTATGGCAAGCGCCTGTCCCCCGGGCCCCGATGATGGCTGCAAGAGCCGGAAGGGGGGGGGGATACAAATTCAGAGCGAGGATGAACCCCGGCGAGGACGACAGGGAGAGAACCGTGAATGAGTGGGGGACGGCGTGCAAATCCTGAGCACCGCTGAGGGACAAGAGTGACAGCGGGAGGAGGACATCAGCCGTGAGAGAGGGGACGTCAACGACAGCAATGAGGCACGACGGCGGGAAGCGAGTCCCGAAGTCCGCCGCCCAGGCCCCGCGCCCTGTTCCACAGCAAGGCCGCTTCACTTCACCTTACATTCGATCCAGGTGGCCGAGCTGCTGAGCAGGGGCGGTGACGGGGAGGCAGAACAACAAGCTCTCGTCCCCTCTCGGCTCGGGTGCTCGGGAGCGCCTTTTAAAAAGAGCAGAGAGGGCACAGAGAGAGGGACGAGAAGCAGCGGCGATGAAAGACTGAATAGCTGAAAAATTGCATAAAAGGGCTGAAAAGTCTGGTCTGAAACCACTGAACCAGCTTAGCTCTAGGTTTGATTTCATTGTCGTGTTTGTTTGGTGGAGAAAAGTAAAGAAAGTAAAACGGCTGCAGCGACACTGAACCCTGCCTCCAGCGTCCCCCTTGAGTCCGGAGTAGTGCATGACATGCTACAGCTTGCTAACCATGTACTCATTTTGTACACATATTATTAATGTTTCATTACACAGTGAATCCTGTTCACTCAGAGCTCATCCAGTGAACTAGCGTGTTAAAATGAGAGCATTAATCATTAATCTACATATTTATTATTCCACCACTTATTTTAGCTATTACTTATTACTTACTGTAGCTAAAAATGATGTGTGGGCTTAAATGAAGTGCCCCTTTTTTTAATTAGCTCTTGGTGAACAGATCCTCAATTTGTCAGAACTTGTTTTAATTGCCAAACATTCTTTCACGTTTACAGACCACATTTAAGCTGATTAATCAATTATTTGTCCTTTAATTCACTTTATTTCTTGCAGCACTGGATTCAGTTCAGCCGTCTGGGCTTTGAGGGTGATGGGAGAGTTGACTGGATCAGGGATCAGTTTTCTTGCCGTCTGAAGTTCTCTCTAAAGTCTTCACCAACGCCAAACTTCAAAGGCAGCAATGTTTTTCCTGTCCCGCTTTAATTACTGTCCTGCTTTCACGTCCATAAAGAACCACAGAGAGGCCTGGACACAGCCTGGACAGTTCTGATCTGTGTTTGAAGAGACACATCACTTCGTTTGAACATCATGTTTCCGCCCTGAGTGCTGAGAGCGCAGCACAGATACCCACTACAACAGAAAAACACAGCGTCCTCCAGCACCTGCAGCGCACTATCAGAGGAACAATCACACCCTCAGCTGTTACACCATCAGCTCCCGCAACTGCTGCCATTGTGTCAATAAGCTCCTGTCGTTTGCATACTGTTCATTCTATCTACCATCCACTACACTGTACTGAACACCATGTACTGCACACGTTCACCCAACTCTGCCTTCAGATTAGGCTATTATACTGGACTGGAGTCTACAGTGGACTACACTCTTACGCACAATCCCATTTCTTCTTTTTACCCCTACCCCTTGTTTTCGAGTGTCACCTTAACCCCTTACAGGGTAGTGGTTGAAATCTTCCCTCTGAAATGGACCCTCAAATAAAAAGAGCATCACTTCATTAACAGCTACCAGCGCTGCTCTGTAGGCGACCCTGCCAGTCTGCAGTGACAGCAGAGGAGGGTAAAGTTCAGCTCCTCACTGCTGGGCTTTAGTTACATTTAGGGCATCATATGTCTTCAAAGAGGGGGGCAATTATTTATTATCACCCACCCCTAATTCTTCAGTGATATGAAGCTGAAGTCAGATATTCACCAGATTCTTGTTCGAATTTTCCCATTCCACCTTAAATGGTGCAGCAGTTACAATCTGGCGCTTCAGGCATCAGAACTGCTGGACTATTTAAGGTGGAACGGGAAAGTTAGGTAGCTGGCTACTGAGACGTTAGCATACTATTAGGGATTCTTTATGCTTGTTATGAAGAAAACAAGCATAATACACTGAAACGACATTAAACTAAAATAATATGATGGTTATTGTAATTTTTTAACAGAGAAAATTCTCACATTTGTGGGTTTCTTTGGTCTCTTGTTCTCCATCTTGCCGGTTTTTCTTTTTTTCTCATAACTCTCTGTTTGGAGTCTCTGAAAAACCTCCGTTTGGAGGGTCGTGTAGCCCCAACACTTCGCCCCACCCCTCTATCTCAACAAGAATCGGGACACCCTACCCCTAGACGTGAACACGCAAAACAGAGGGGTAGGGCTAAGTGGTAGGGGCGAGGGGTGAAATGGGATTGGACCTTAGTAACAAAGGGCTTGATATAGTACCCAAAACGGTACTTGTAATAATAGTAATAATAGTGTAACAATTTTTGGTACTACAGTCCTATGCAAAAGTTTGTGAACCGCTGGTCAAATTCCATGTTGTTGTTATTTTCTAAGTGAGAATAAGTGAACTTACCCTCTATGGAGAACTTAAATATGGCAATTTCTCCAAGCTTTAGTGCACAATTTGTATTTATTTGCTCCTGAAATTTTCATATTGGACAAAAAAACAAACTATTACTTTTGCACATGCCATTTTTAATTTTTTTAACAACATATCCTCTACAGTGAACTCACTTCTGCACATTTTAACTTACAGTTATTGTTTATTTGCTGAATTTAATACATTGGGGGAAAAATACAACATAAAATATGGCCTGTGCAAAAGTTATGGCACACTTCTATTGTAATATGTTTTAGTTTTTGTTAAAAATATGTTTAAAAATAAACAGAAATAGAACTAAAGTGGTTAGGTTTGTTCCCTGTAGAGGATGTACGTGTTAACAAATTTTCAAAAAACATTAAAACGTAATTTGACTTTTGTGTATGACTGTGTGTGTGTGTGTGTGTGTGTGTGTGTGTGTGTGTGTGTGTGTGTGTGTGTTTAACCACTTCTAAAAAAGGTTCATATGCAACAGGTTCTGAATCATGATGAACAATTTTACCACGCAAAGAACCATTTATGCATTCAAATTGTTCATGGTTCTCTATACTACCACTAAGGAACCCCTGGAGAACAGTTTTTTTAAGGTTGTACACAATGTCCATGACAATTTTATGCTCCCTTTAAATTTGCATTATCCTATGCTGAGATCACAGATTCACTCTTATGAAGATCTCCTCTAAGCAGACCGTGTGCGTGAAGTTTTAACAGGCTGCCATAAGCCTGCTGAACAAGAGCTGAGCTGTCAATGTTTAACTGACAGTATTCAGGTCATTAACACTGCTCTTAATACCCTCATCACAAAAAAGACTTTACCAAACTGCCACAGCAGCTATTCTCTGTTTGTTGACATGATTACTCTACCAGTGTTCTCCTGAGCACCGGCCTTGAACTCGTACCAAAGAAATGGGGGAAAGGCGGCCGTGTATTTAAAGGGCTGGAATGACGTGGATTAGAACAAATGAAAACATTGTCCTGGTATCCGCTGCAGATACACACCAATCAGACATAACATTCTGACCACCTCCTTGTTTCTACACTCATTGTCCATTTTATCAGCTCCACTTACTATATAGGTGCACTTTGTAGTTCGACAGTTACAGACTGTAGTCCATCTGTTTCTCTGATACTTTGTTAGCCCCCTTTTACCCTGTTCTTCAGTGGTCAGGACCCCCATGGACCCTCACAGAGCAGGTACTATTTGGGCGGTGGATCATTCTCAGCACTGACGTGGTGGTGGTGTGTTAGTGTGTGTTGCGCTGGTACGAGTGGATCAAACACAGCAGTGCTGCTGGAGTTTTAAACACTGTGTCCACTCACTGTCCACTCTATTAGACACTCCTACCTTGTCAGTCCACCTTGTAGATGTAAAGTCAGAGACGATAGCTCATCTGCTGCTGCACAGTTTGTGTTGGTCATCCTCTAGTCCTTCATCAGTGGTCACAGGATGCTGCCTACAGGACGCTGTTAGCTGGATATTTTTGGTTGGTGGACTATTCTCAGTCCAGCAGCGACACTGAGGTGTTTAAAAACTCCAGCAGCACTGCTGTGTCTGATCCACTCAGACCAGCACAACACACACTAACACACCACCACCACGTCAGTGTTACTGCAGTGCTGAGAATGATCCACCACCCAAATAGTACCTGCTCTGTGAGGGTCCATGGGGGTCCTGACCACTGAAGAACAGGGTAAAAGGGGGCTAACGAAGTATGCAGAGAAACAGATGGACTACAGTCTGTAACTGTAGAACTACAAAGTGCACCTATATAGTAAGTGGAGCTGATAAAATGGACAATGAGCATAAAAACAAGGAGGTGGTCATGATGATATGCCTGATGGGTGTATACTGTATACACAGAGCCTTGTTCCTTTAATACCTGAGAAGCTGGCTCCCCCTTGTGGTTGCCACCGTACACTGGCCGAAAATTACTAACCACGTGCTGAGCATTGAGCCCTGGTGTCACAATGCAATACTGATTCTCAGCGATTTAAGCCTCCTTTTTGGAAACGTGGCTTCTGTAATCTTCATTAATTCTTCTGATAATATGTTTCCTGAAAAATTCACTTATATAAATGAAGTAATAAAACTCTCAGCATGAATTTGTCTCTCACTGTCTGCTTCAGTCTACCACTGCTCCCATAATCTCTCTGCTGAACCTATCACTTGTGATCACGTACACTACTGAGCAGACTGTTCAATTCAATCCTCCTCAAAATCACTCAGTAAGACGCTGAGATTAATAATCGATCACATTGATTTATCAGTCTACTCGGGCTTTAGCAGAGCTCAGTAACACTGAGATTAATAACCGATCACATTGACTTATCGGTCAACGCAGGCTTTAGCAGAGCTCAGTAACACTGATTAATAACTGATCATCACATTGATTTATCAGTCTACTCAGGCTTTAGCAGAGCTCAGTAACACTGATTAATAACTGATCATCACATTGATTTATCAGTCTACTCAGGCTTTAGCAGAGCTCAGTAACGCTGAGATTAATAACTGATCATCACGTTGATTTATCAGTCTACTCAGGCTTTAGCAGAGCTCAGTCACACTGAGATTAATAACCGATCACATTGATTTATCAGTCTACTCAGGCTTTAGCAGAGCTCAGTAACACTGAGATTAATAATCGATCACATTGATTTATCAGTCTACTCAGGCTTTAGCAGAGCTCAGTAACACTGAGATTAATAACCGATCATATTGATTTATCAGTCTACTCAGGCTTTAGCAGAGCTCAGTAACACTGAGATTAATAATCTGATCACATTGATTTATCAGTCTACTCAGGCTTTAGCAGAGCTCAGTAACACTGAGATTAATAACCGATCATATTGATTTATCAGTCTACTCAGGCTTTAGCAGAGCTCAGTAACACTGAGATTAATAACCGATCATATTGATTTATCAGTCTACTCAGGCTTTAGCAGAGCTCAGTAACACTGAGATTAATAATCTGATCACATTGATTTATCAGTCTACTCAGGCTTTAGCAGAGCTCAGTAACACTGAGATTAATAACCGATCACATTGATTTATCAGTCTACTCAGGCTTTAGCAGAGCTCAGTAACGCTGAGATTAATAACCGATCACATTGATTTATCAGTCTACTCTGGCTTTAGCAGAGCTCAGTAACACTGAGATTAATAACCGATCACATTGATTTATCAGTCTACTCAGGCTTTAGCAGAGCTCAGTAACGCTGAGATTAATAACTGATCACATTGATTTATCAGTCTACTCAGGCTTTAGCAGAGCTCAGTAACGCTGAGATTAATAACCGATCACATTGATTTATCAGTCTACTCAGGCTTTAGCAGAGCTCAGTAACACTGAGATTAATATCTGATCACTTTGATTTATCAGTCTACTAGGTCTCTAGGACAAAGCTTTCACTGGTACAGAACGTTAACATCTTGTGGAGGTTCATAAAACCTTAACTAATTTAATTTCAAGTATTAACAATCTAATTTGTTTACTAATATTAACTAATATTAATTTTAATAGTATGCGATTAAAATTATTATAATGTAGCACTACTGGTTCGTTTTTCTTAATTCCAACTGATCATATGGCTGAATAAATGAATATCGTGACATATCACGTATAGTGAAAATTTCTTCAAGTATCGCGATATTATATTTGTGCCGTATCGCCCAGTTCTATAATACAAAATATGCAAAATGTTAAGTACGAATCATTTTACACATTGTTTTTAATAACAGTTTTAAATTTTTTCTGTCCCAGAAGCATCAGAACAACAAAATACTGTGACAAATTATTAAGTTATGTATCGTCAAAATGTCTTGATGTGATGTTCTACTAATGAAAGCAGATTAATTCATGTGCAAAAAGGCCTGAAAGCACAGGTAGGAGTGCTGGTGGAGACTCTCACCTTCATAGCAGCCATAGCCTGGACAGTGAGGGCCAGACGAGTGGGGGTGAGGGCAGCCAGCATGGCGTTGAAGCGATCGCCCTTACGCCGGAAGGGAGAGGAGTACCGACCATCAGCTGAGACGGAACCAAACCTGAGAGAGAAACAGGCACGTCACTCAAGCTTAGAGACACCGACATAAACACCAAAGCTCCACAACATAGACGACAGACAAAATACCACAGAAGGTCACAATGCAAAGAACTCATGCCAAGGGTTCTTTGTGTGTTCAGGGTTCTATACAGAACCACTGTCTTTACTAAAGAACCACTGAAGCACCATCTTTTTAAAGGGTGCATTGGGCTCGTATTTCTGCTCACATTTCACTCACTCACTCTCATAACTACAAACAAAGATCAAGAGTACTTTAGCAGAGGGAACGGTTCTATTTAGAACCATGCGTTCTTTACAGAACTATTTGCATGCTTAAATCGTTCTTTGCATGGTAAAACGGTGCTTCAGATTGAGGAGAATGTGTTGTACATGGTTCTATATAGCATTGTTTTTTTTAAAAATGGTTCTATATAGCTCCAAAAAGGGTTCCTCTATTGTTACAAGCTTGACATCATGACAATAGCAGAACTCTTTTTGGTGCTAAGTAGAACCAAATACGACACATTCTTCATCAATTTAAAGAGTGATTCCACCATGCAAAGAACCATTTAAGCATGAGAATGTTTCTACACAGAACTCATGGCTCTAAATAGAACAATTTGCACTGAAGAACCCATGAAGAATCCTTTTTAAGTGTATATGTAACCGTTTCACAGCAGGACTCCTTCCTAGCAGTTACTGAACAATAAGCCGTGAAGGGCTGGAGGGGTTAAACAGTAAACCGTCAGTGCCAGCAGACCCTCTCCATCTGCACAGCGATCTACGACTTCCTGACAAACAGGAAACAGTACTGTATGTTCAGCTGGGCCTCTACCTGCCAGACAGCCTCACCATTAGAGCAGGTGCACCTCCGGGCTGCATGTGCTCTGCGCTGCTCTCCTTCCTCCAAACCAGAAAGCGCACTTTAGTGACCCTTTCACCAAAATACTGCTATCTACAGATGTTCTACCGGCCTCTGGAGGCTAATCGCAGATGGCGATGTGGTGACGTGCAGGAGAAAGGTGCGTTATCTTCAGTGGTGGACAGTAACGAAGTAAATGTAATTCGTTGCTGTACTTAAGTAGTTTTTTGTGTATCTTTACTGAAGTTTTTCCATTTTGGGCGACTTTTTACTTTCACTCCGCTACATTTCAAAGTCGAATATCTCACTTTTTACTCCACTACATTATGAGAAATCTGTCGTTCCTTTTGGTTTATGTGTGTATAAAACGTAACATGTCAAAACAAAAGAAGTGCAAAGTAAGAACACCAATCAGGAAACAGCGGTCACTTTGTTTTGAGCTTGTTTTGACCTGTTGGTCATACCGACCCAGTGCAGCACACGGTTCAACATCAGTGCAGCAGAGTAAAATTTTGGGAGAGTCTATTCAACATAAATGATGAACTAACCTAACTTTGTGTAAACAGACCACAATATAGAAATATGTACACATATGCAGTTGTGACTGACGCGTCTTTATTCTGAATTTATACAAACACGATTTCATTTTATAGTAAATTAGTTTAGGCTAGTTTATGTTTATGAACAGAGACCTACAGATGCAGTTTAGTAAAGGAAACTCATTTGTGAATCTGAGTTTAAAGTCTTTATTAATCTTAAACTTGGAACTAAGTTCAAATAAATCTGAAACTGAAACTTTGCTTGTTTGTAAAAAGTGATTTCAGAGCCACTCAGTTCTACCTGATGGAAACTGTTTGCCTTCAGTGTTTTGTGCTTATGATAATTTTAATAGACATCAGCGTCACTAATTAATGACATTCTATTAAAAGACTGGTTTACCAAGAGAGACACTGGAGTATTTTCACCTAAAATGAGTTAATGAAGCGAGTCTTGTTACAAAAATGATAACAGGACATTAAAGTCATAATTAATCTTTTAGTACTTTTACTTTTGATACTTAAGTACATTTGAAGGCAAATACTTTTGTACTTCTACTCAAGTGGAGGTCTAAAGGGAGGAACTTCTACTTTTACTGGAGTAATATTTTACCTTGGGTGTCTCTACTTTAACTCAAGTACATGGTTTGTGTACTTCGTCCACCGCTGAATATTTTAGTGCACAAACTCTATTTATTTGCTTATCATTTTATCAGTTTATCAATCATTTCAGGAAAAAAAAACATAAAATATAAAATGTGCCATAAGCTGTGCACAGGTCACATTTTATATCTAATTTAAATATAAAAATATCTTAAATTAAGTAAATAAACTGGCACAATCAGATTATACAGAGATACGGATTATTAAGTGCATGTAAACACACTCACACAGTGACCGGAGGAATCTGACCCTGGATCAGTTATGCTTTGTATTTAAAGCTCGCAGTAAGTCACACTGAGCTCTAAACTGCCTCTACAACTCTGTGCCACCTTAATGAAGACCTGAATACAGTTTGAGAGCTGAGGGAAGTTTTGGTTTTTGAGGTACTTTTACAGAAATGTATTTGTGTTATTTGGGTGACTATTGAGTTCTAGTGTTTGTTAGCAATGTTAGCTTTGTAGCTGTAGCTCTAAACAAAAAAAAGCAAAAAAAAGCAAAAAAGCAAAAAAAGAAAACAAGATCATATTAGCAGTTTCAGCGTCGCTCCACCGGCTGCCTGCTTCCATACTTAGCATCATTACTAGTATTTAAATCTCTTAATGGTGCAGCACCTTCATACAGCACCTTCATACAACATGTATATGGTTCTATAGAAAACCTTTTTGAAAAAGGTTCTACATAGCACCAAAAGGGGGTTCTTCTATTGTTCACAAGCTTCACGTCGTAAAAATAGCAGAACCCTTTTTGGTGCCATATAAAACCATATACAACACACTCTCCATCAATTTGATTGCTCATGGTTCTATATAGAACCATTATGTTTAGAACCCTTTAAAAACCATCATTTCTTTTAAGACTGTAGCTTATTTTTCTTACTTTTACTGGCTATATTATTTTAATGTGTACTTTTTTGTTTTTAACTGTTATTATTCTTTTTTTTTTGCTGCTTTAATTTGTTGCATCTTATCATTTGCCGATTTTACTTGACTACCTCGTTTCCTTTATTTTCCCTGCTGTTTTTAGTTTATATCATAAAGCACTTTGAACTGCACTTTAAATGTAAGAAAGGTGCAATTTAAATAAAGATTATTATTATTATTATTATTTTTATTATTATTATATACACTTAGATAAAACAGACACAGTGAGGAACTCAGCGCTGACTCAGAGATTTACTGTCAGCAGTGACGTACACTGCTCTGTTCATATTTACACTAAGTACACTGCACTATGGACAACATGTTTACACAGCACACAGCTACTGCACAGGTCAGTGAAGTAACAGTCTCATCTGCCGTGAGTCTCAGACTCTAAAATACTCACTTGTCCAGCAGGTTTTCCCGTGGTATCCTCACATTATCAAACATTAGGATACCATTGTCAACTCCATGCAGACCTAAACAACAGACAGAAACAGAAACAAATCACTTTGTGAACCTTCTCCAAAATCTGTCAGTGACTCTTAAGCTAATAACGTGATATACAGTTCTGAGCAAATGTCAGAGACCACCTTCTTCTGATTTCCTTCAAAACGGAAACATCCAGGAGGTATTTCTGAGATTAGATATAAGACAATCCACTTGTAGTCAAGTAAAAAAAAGGTAAGTTCAAGAAAACAAATGTGTTTCCTAACAACCACCTGGAAGAGCTGGTCGACCCCAAAACTGCCCCCATCAGATAAACAGCACTTAAAGCTTTCATCTCTGAGAGAGAGGAGAAAATCAAGCTGCTTCAGATCTGAAAACATCCACAGGTGTTTCTGTCCATCCTTCCACTGTGAGAAGACGACTCAGCGCTCTTTAATCAGAGCCGTTGCTTCACCTGCATTTCCCCTTTTCTGTATTCTAATGTTTTATATTGAGGGTAAAATCTTATTCTCTGTTCATATCACTCTTGTGTTATTGTTTACTATCCGGTCTGGTCCAGAGGAGGACGGGTTCCCCTTTTGAGTCCTGGTTACTCTCAGTGTTTCTTCCTCTTCCTCTTAGGGAGCTTTACTTGCCACTGTTGCCCTTGGCGACGCTCATGGGGGCTCAGACCTGGATTCTTCTGTAAAGCTGCTGTTATAAAACACGCTACATAAATAAACTTTGACTTGACTTGAATAAATTTGTACTAAACAGCCATTTTGTCTAAAGATTAAATACATAAGTGGTGGTCTCTGACTTTTGCACAGTACTGTATATTTCAACAAAAGACTCCAGACCTTCTTTATGCTTCATATCAGTTGCAGTCACTCCGGGCCACATGACCCCATACTGGTCACGGATTGGCACAACAAAACAATGAGGACCTGAGAGAGAAACACAGAAATAAAAGCACTGTAAATATTCAATTGGCACCATATCACTGCTGTTTGAACAAAACCTTGTATCTCCAAAATGGTAACTTCACAGGAGAAGGAAAAAACATGCTTTAGTTTTAATGTAAGTCAATGGAACCAGATGTTTTTCCAAGTGACACTGGGTCATTTCTTTTAGTCCATTCATTGTGAAATTTACACACAATGCAAAGAACAACAGGTATTTTCAAAATATGTCAAAAACAGAAAAACATCAAAAATGGAGATACAAGGTTTTCTTCTAACAACAGCGATATATTAACATATTTAATTAACCAGCAGCAGCTATTTAAACAGATTAAACACTAAAATTCAGGATTCATTGCCTCTGTTTCAATGAAATGTCCACCAAGTTAAATTTTCCATTTGTGGAATACTGAGTAAAAACAAATATTAGCTAATACAGGACATTCACAATGATAAAGAGCACTGAAAGCTTACAGAGGGCCGTGAACTGGGTGACAAGGTAAGAGAACAAAGTTCAGTAACTTTTCAGGAACTTTTTACTGTACAAAGTTTAACAACTAAAGCTCAGAGATCCCAATAACAACACTGACCCTCACTCTCCAACATGTTCCTAAGTTTGTTCTTAAATCTGTTCTTGAGAAAGATCTTAAGAAAAAGTCTACGTCAGATTTATGACGTGTTCTTAAAGCGCAGAACTGTTCTCACCTTTGTGTTCTTGAGTGTGTGCAGATTCTGTTCTTACCTGAGAACAAATCCCACATAAGAGAACATTGGCGAGTCAGAATCTTCACAAAAACTGCGTAAGTGGGTTTTAAGAAGAAATTTCTTCGTAAGAACTGTTGGTGAATGAGGCCCAATGCGATTTATGCCGCAGGAGACTTGAGTTCAACTTCTGGTCAAAGGCTAAACTGAAATTTGATTGAGTAGTCCCTCAAAGACTCAGAAACCTTAGTCCACACACACTTTCTAGGTTAATGTTGGTCTTGTTGGCATATGCAAAGTAAGCCCCATGAATAACAGCAGAAAGCCATCAAACTTCCCAGCAGAATTTCTCTGCTTTCAATGTAAATTATTAGCTTTAATCTTGGTAAAAGCTGATGTCACTGACCCCATTTAGAGCTTTTATTCAAATATTTTATATATGTCCTCCACATCTCATTGGGCCTCATATCTTCTTAAAGCCACTTACGCAGTTTTTATGAAGATTCTGACCGATGTTCTCTTATGTGGGATTTGTTCCTGGGTAAGAACAGAATCTACACACACTCAAGAGCACAAAGGTGAGAACAGTTCTGTGCTTTAAGAACACGTCATGAATCTGACGTAGACTTTTACTCAGGATCTTTATCAAGAACACAGTTAAAATAAAATTGGGAATCCTTTTCAAATCACAAGAGCTGCAATCCTAAATATAGCCTACACATAATAAATGGGGAATTGTTTACCTAATAATCTGTAATTTACATAATAACAGCCAGTAGATGAGTTAGACCAATCAAAGGCATCCCACATGATGCGTATATGACAACACAACCACAGCTAACCAGCCGTCTGGCAGCCTATGTTCAAAACTTTAGCCTGAAGCTAGAAAAAAGTGAATATGCTGGTCTTCTTGGCCAAAAATACAGACCTGGTTTGAAATATACTGAGAATAATCACAATGTCAAACACAAAAATATCGGTCCCCAGATATTTTCCCCCAAATCGCCCAGCCCTAACATCACCGGTAGCTTCCCACTATGACACTGCAAATCCCACAGAAGCGCAAATAAATGAGAAGTCTGCTTAATGTAAAATTATATAGTAACTGATTACATGGATTTTCTTGAGCTGACTCAATTTTAATCTCACCCAACTCAGTTGAGCCAAAAATTCTCCCAGCTACTGTTTCAAGCTCTGCATCTCAGCTAGATAAACAAAATCAAAATCCCCACTAGCTGGCGCTCCTATCACACGGTTCCATCTGACATTTTTCCTTTCTGGGCTTCTGGATGTAGACAGCTGTGGCATTGCTGGGATTCAAACTCACAACCTCCTGATGTTGGGATGGATTATTAGACAGCTGCACCACATGAGACTTTGCTACTCTTCAAAGTTAAAACAACAAATATTTTCTACAGTGTATTGAACATTAATGGACACAGAATCTGAGTTACTTCATGTGTTCCTGAGTGGTGCAGTGGACTAAGCCAACACATATATATGTTACATACTTCAGAATAGCTCAGACAGTTTGCATTGACGTCCCTGTAGTTACTGAATAATAAGACTTACTATGTAACAAGCCTAGAATTAATATAACACTTCAGTTTTATACCCTACAGACATGTTTATATTCTACACCGCGCTTCCTGGGACAGCGTAATGCTCATTTGGTCATAAATACCTTGAGATTCTCCTTTAACGATAAGCTGGGCAAATACAGCAGCGTAGTTTCCCTTCATGGCGTTCCCGATGTACATCTTCTGAGCATCTTCACACGGAGTGTGGATAATAAACTCCTGTGGACACAAATCAAACCACTTAGTGAGAACGGTCACTTTCACACAGCAGTAAATGTACCCACCCTTTCACTAGTGCTGGAGATGATGTGAGGTTCACGCTAAAAAAGAGGGTTCATCAAGGGTTCTTTAGTAAAGAGACTCGTAGTTCTATATAGAACCATTTCATGCTAAAATGGTTCTTTGCATGGTAAAATGCTTCTTCAGATCAATGGAGAATCTGTTGTATATGGTTCTATACTGCTGGGGTTTTCAAACTGTGGGGGCGTGAGTACCTGTCTGGGGGGGCGTGAGATTTTTGACTTAAAGCACTTAAGAGAAAATTTTTATACTGTGGTGAACCTGTCCTGTCAGTCCTCAGCAATTCATTTTTCAACCACTAGAGGGAGCTCATCTGATGATCTCACTGACAATGCTCACTACTCGTCTAATGTTATCCAGCTCACAGTCTGAAAAACAAACCAGTGGCCAGCAAAATTTAAAGACAGGGCTAACAGTGAAGATAAATCGGTTGAAGCGAGAGGCAAAAACAATGACTGTGTTGTTTCAGCTGAGGATTCCACAAGTGAGGCCATCCATCCCGACCCCATCGATGCCGAAAAGCCATCCACATCAAGCGCAGGGCTACCACGACAGAGAAAGCAACCTGCTAATTCCAAAGGCCTGGTTGCATCAAAACGCAGAAAGTATTATGAAAGGTACTTAAAATATGGATTTACATGCATCATACAAAATGAAGAACATTACCCACAGTGTGTTATATGTTCAGAGGTACTTGCAAACAACAGTTTAAAACCTGTAAAATTAATAAGACACTTAAACGCCAAGCATCCGACATTCAAAGATAAGCCAGTTGACTTTTTCAACAAACTTAATACCCTTAATTCGTCACTTCAGGGCCCAAATTCTAATTTGCTAACATTATGACAAAATCGAAGGGTTCGTGAGAAAACTGGAACGATGGAGAGGCCAGGTTGAGGGTGGAAATGTGGACATGTTCCCCACCTTGGAGGAATTCATACAGTGTGGGCAAAAATTTCAGCCTCAAAAGCTGGTAGAGACATACCTCAAAAGACATGCAGCTGTAATTGCAGTGAAAGGTGGTCCTACAAAGTATTGACTCAGGGGGGCTGAATACAAATGCACGCCACACTTTCCAGATTTTTATTTGTAAAAAATTTTGAAAACCATATAAAATTTTCTTTTCACTTCACAACTACTTGCTACTTTGTGTTGGTCTGTCACATAAAATCCCAAAGTTTGTGGGTGTAACATGAAAAAAATGTGGAAAAGTTCAAGGGGTATGAATACTTTTTCAAGGCACTGTGACTCAAAATGAACTTGGTGATGGTACAGGAATAGAATCGCTCTCCATCTCCAAGCCCTTTCTGATCACTTCAGGAAATATGTTCCCGAGCATCAAAGATAGGATCAGCACGACTGGGTACGTAATCTCTTCATCACCAATGCAGGGTGCCAGTTGTCGTCAGACCAGCAGGATGCTCTTCTGGACCTTTCAAGTGACCGATCATTGAAGGCAGCCTTTGGTTCAACCTCGCTGCCAGAGTTTTGGCTGTCAGTCACGGCAGAGTATCCTGAACCGGTGAACCTAGCAATTCAAGTTCAAAGCAAGAAACACGGAAGGGGGCACATGTCCAAAAAAGGCTTCTACTGTTACAAGCTTGATGTCATAACAATAGCAGAACCTTTTTGGTGCTATATAGAACCATATACAACACATTCTCCATCAATCTAAGGAACTATTTAACCATCCAAAGAGCTGCTTAAACTCATATTTCTAAATAGAACCACTACCATTTCTAAAGAACCCTTGAAGAACCACTATTTTTAAGAGTGTATGATGACAAACCTTAAAGGGATCCTTTACTCGCTAACATTGTGAACACTGAATGAAAGTTAGTGGTAACCAGCTGGCTTTATAGCATTTAAATAATCCTATTTTAGTATCTTTGTTTTGGCATTTTATATGATCCCCCTGGGTTCTGAGGTGGTTCTCTCAATTTATTCATATCTGCTTAAACTCTCCTTTAAAGGCTCTTCATATAACATGATCCTCATATGTTTCATATCTAAATGCTCCGTTATCTTCATCACTACTTTCCAAAACCGCTGCAGCAGCTTCAGCAGCTGTAAACTCTCTGCACGCCATTTCACATGAGTCTCCGATGTGGACTGAATGAAGAATGAAGGGTTTCCGGTGTGATGGTCAGTCTTAGTGATTTCCATTGGTCAGTTTCACACAGAATGTAGACGGACACACCAATCCACCAGTTCCACATGGTGAGAGGCAGATGACGTGTATCTCAGCCCCTCTTCATAGGCTCATAACTCCGGATGTGAGTCTCGTATGATCTCGGGATAAGATGGAATGGAAAGGGCGACTCTACAGATTCAGGAAGTGTTTGAACTGGATTTCTGAGCTGGATCATCACAAAGATACAGACACAGATATAGAGACAGAGAATTTGAAACTGAAAGAAGTGTCATTACTGAATGAAGAGAATAAAAACAGGCTAAAATCTAATGAGCTGCTGCTGTGAGTCGCCTGTAAAGCCTGAAATAACCATTTAAAAGTCAGAGGAGTTGAGTTTTTCACACCATGTCGTACATCTTTTCATATTAACGTCACAAACAGACTCAAAAGAAGGTCCGACTCGATGTTTCGGCCTCTAATGATCTCAAAACCAACATCATACTGATAAAGATGTGACGGAAATCGTTGATAATACACTCACATCCTCAGAAGACGCTCCTCCACCAAGTTTAGACTGAGTTCTCTTTCAATTCTCTTTCAATCACTAGATTCATCCACTCGTCCACGTTACCAAATGTTCTTCTGGATGCTCCATGCTATTACACATTTCCACCAGAGAGGTCTCCAAATCCCCAAATCTTACATAGTACAACTTTATTTATATATATATTTTTTTCCAAATTTTCTCCCCAAGGTAGTGATATCCAATTCTACCCACTAGTTAGGACTCTCCCAATCACACGATACCACCAGCGCTAGGAGGGTGAACACTAACACAGGCTTCCTCCAAGATGGCTAGCATCTGAGTGATGGGGGAGACAGAGGGCCATCCTACCCACCCAGAGAGAGTGAGGACAACTAGCTGTAGCATTACTGGGGATCGAACTCCTGATCTCCTGATCACAGGACCAACGCTTAGACAGTTACACAGTACAACTTTAAAGCTTGAGACATAATTTTAAAACTGTATTTAGCTAATGTATTTAGATTAACCATTTTAGCTTAAGTAAAAACATCATAAAACAGCAGTATGAATTCAATATGTACATACATGACTGTGAAAATCGGTTCTCTGCAGGTACATTTTTAGGTCATCAAGGTACAAATACTTTTAATGTTCCCTCAAAGCTCCAACAGTGGTTTTAAGGTCTGATTGTGAACCTTAAATAAGTGTTTCCAGGTGAAAAGTTCGTATTTGTACCTTTTCATAACCGAATGTTTTAAACAGAACAGTAAAATAAAAGCCTGGAGACGAGACGGGGTGTGTGGAGTCAGTACAGCTTAGAACATATCATTTCAGTGGATTATGGTTCAGTTATGTTCCCTGACTAAAGGTACTGAAGACATACCCCTGAGGGTTCCACCCCAGTGACAGTTTAGTACCCTTTTTTCTGAGAGTGTAGGAAGAGGGTGTGCCACCTAACATGCTTCATGTGCAGCGACAAAAAAAAAAATGAGGGGGTGTGTGTCCACTGAGAAACTGTTTAAAGGCTTTTCTGTCAGCATAGTTTCTCACACCGGATAACACTGTTAACACTGTATTCAAAACAAATTACATTTCCATCCAATACAGTATTTGAGCTCCAGCCCAGTTCAACCCCTGATTATTAGCAATATTAGCACTTTTTTAATCTAAGTGGTCTTTTTTGCACCTGGAATAAAACTGTTGGCATATTTAAAGTTGCTCCAGTCAGATATGAGATCAGCCTTGCAGTGCTTAAGAGCGAAGTTAAAGAAAAAGATATTAATCAGCTGCTGAGGGAACTCACCTGTGTTGAGGGCTCATAGTGGGCCTCAGTGAGGATGCCCCTCGCATTACTCCCGTGGCCCCTCTCCGTCAAGGCAAACATTCCAGTGCATGCCAACTCCTGCAATTCATAAAAGAGGAATAAAAGAAGAAAGAAAAGAGAGAACATAACAGAACCCAGTTTGATGCCCCTGCTGTTCTGTGCACTGGTCAGATTATGTTGTATTGATTTTCTAAGTGTAAATAAGTGAATATGTCCTCTAAACAGGACACAATTTACACATTCTAATACACAAGTACTGTGTATTTGCTGAATTTAGCATATTGGACTAAAATAAAATAAGAGGTGCAAAGGTTATGGCACATCTAATATATCATTACTTTTCCCAGAAATGTTAAACTCAGCAAACAAATGAAAACGATATTGTGCCATAAGATTTGAAGACATATGCCATATTTGAGTGTCGCCTCTGTGGAGGGTGTGTTGACCTATTTTCACTCAGAAAACCAACAAAACATGGAATGTGAACACTTTATGCAGAGTTATCCCACAAAAGCCTTTCAGAGTGATGCCTTTAGAGCTGTTTCTTAAAAAGTAAATAAACAAGCTGTTTTGTTTTTCTATACACACCGATCAGGCTTAACATTATGACCACCTCCTTGTTTCTACACTCATTGTCCATTTTATCAGCTCCACTTACTATATAGGTGCACTTTGTAGTTCTACAGTTACAGACTGTAGTCCATCTGTTTCTCTGATACTTTGTTAGCCCCCTTTTACCCTGTTCTTCAGTGGTCAGGACCCCCATGGACCCTCACAGAGCAGGTACTATTTGGGTGGTGGGTCATTCTCAGCACTGCAGTAACACTGATGTGGTGGTGGTGTGTTAGTGTGTGTTGTGCTGGTCTGAGTGGATCAGACACAGCAGTGCTGCTGTACCAAGTACATAATTTTATGAAGCAACTGAAAATCTGGTTACCAACTTTGTTTTTATGATTCATTGTTTTTTATTTTTATTTTAATACTAGTATCACTGCACTTATTTTGTTTTTAATTCTATTACTATTTTTTAATATTATTATTACTATTACTAGCATTACTATTGTTTAATTAACACTACTTTTTATCCCCTCCCCCAAATGTTTTTATTTAAAAATTAAAAGATGTTTTTATCTCTGTTCTCTTATCCTCTGTGAAGCACTCTGAGCTGCATTTATGTATGAAAAGTGCTCTACAAATAAAGCTTATTATTATTATTATTGTTATTATTATTATAAAATGGGTGGATGGTATATGCACAACTTTTCCAAGAGCTGTCTTACTTATCTTCACTGATTGGTTAGTTAAGATATAAGCAGAAGGATAAATGTGGAAAAATATTGTCCTATTTATAGGTAATTGCCTTCAGGTGGTTTTAACAGGTGAGAAAAAAAGGAAATCTCTGATTGGCCAAATGCAGTAAACTGGCTCCTTTCCACTGCACTAAATGTATAATCACTATCAAAAACAATATGTTGGCTACTGAAACATGACTTCCAAAACATGAAACACTTTGCTAAAGCTTTGATGTGACTGGTCTGTGTTATTTGTACTTAAATTATTTATTTGTTGCCTTGATTCATCAGAACACCCACAGAAACACCTCTGGACATCTGAGGGTGGTCAGAATGCTCACAGCACATAGAGGGATCATTTTAGGCAGGGTACTGTGTGTGTGTGTGTGTGTGTGTGTGTGTGTGTGTGTGTGTGTGTGTACTGCACTAGGGGGTGAAAATCATCCAGAACCCCCGTTAGCACCACTTGAAAAATGTTTAATGGCCTTTTCATATAAATTAAATAAAGGCTACCAGTTCATATATTGTGTCCACCTTCCAGAAGATCTGCATACACACAGTTAATTAGTGTAACTACACACACACACACACACACACAGACACACACACACACCCGCACACACTGATTCAGTGCCAGTCCTGTTTTAGCCACTCTTAATCAAGACATTTTAACTGACACCCTAAAAAGCTGATCTACAGTCAGCCGGTTGACGCAAAAGTGGGCGGCGCTCTCAGATAAAGCTAACCTTTCATCCTGCCAGACACGCCAACTGCTCTCCTATTGGCCGCTCAGATCTCCAGAGGCTGATCACCTGTCAGGTGGTGAGAGTTTTCCTGAACTGGGAAAACCTGCTTTCAGCTGCAGAGTCTTATTACACACTTCTATAACCTAAGAACAGCTCAGCTGGTTTGCATTGAAGTCCCTGTAGTTCCTGAATAAAAAGCCTTAGTATGTAATAAACCTGGGATTTTAATGGGATTCAAATTTTTTTAATGGGATTTAAATTTTAAATTATTCATTTTGCTTTTATTTATTTATTTTTGTTTTTTACAATATTTAATTTTTTGTATTTCTTTATTAACTATTTAATTTTTACCCATTTTAAATGTGGTGATTCTCACTACATTCTATTTTGTTGTTTTACTGGTTTGATATGTGCCTAAGTGTTACATTTTATAGAACCATTTTCAAAAAGATTCTATAGAGAACCAAATACAACACCCAATCGTTTGGAAAATGGTTCTATATAGCACCAAAATGGGTTCTGCTATTGTTACATTGAGTGTGTTTACATGCACTAAATAATCTGATAACTGCAGAAAATCAGATTTTGTCAGTAATCTGATCAACATGTTTACATGCACTTGAGTAATCAGATAATGGGGAACTCCAGGTCTATATGAGTCAGACAGTAATCAGATTTCTGCTTTACAACCAGCCAATAAACTCACAGAAGACGACGTGACGTAAACATAACGTAAATCTCAAACTTCATGCAATGTTTTTTGAACATACATCATCTAGAAGATGAAGAATTTTCAAATCTTTTATTTAGTGTTTGATTTCAGCGCCGCTCCAACAGTGCTTTGCTGCATCTCGCGACATCCACCGTCTGATCTCGCGCAGGCGCAGACTGAGAAATCCGATAGAAATCAGAGTAAGAGTTTACATGCACTGAGAAATCTGATTACTGAGCTAAAATCCAGCCTCTTTATCAGATTTCTAGATCGGAGTATGGTGTTTACATGACCATTTGAATAATCAGATAACTGCAGAAATCTGATTATGATCGGATTATTGAGTGCATGTATACGCACTCACTGTCAAGCTTTTATATAACAGAGGAACCTTTATTTCAATTTTCATTTTCAAAAAGATTCTGTGTTGTATGTGCTGTAAATGGTTCTATATAGAGCCTTTTTGAAAAGGCTTTGGTTCTTTATAGCACCAAAAAGGTTCTCCTATTGTATAAAAGCGTGACATTGTAACAATAGCGGAACCCTTTTTGGTGCTATATAGAACCATCTACAAGACATTTTTCTTCAATCTGAAGAACCATTTACCATGCAAAGAACCATCAGATTTCTTCTTAAACCCACTTACGCAGTTCTGACAAAGACTCTGACTCACCGATGTTCTCTTATGTGGGATTCGTTCTTAGAGCACAAAGGTGAGAACAGTTCTCCACTTTGAGAACACGGCATGAATCTGACGCAGACCTTTTCTTAGGACCTTTCTCAAGAACACACTTAAGAACAAACTTAGGAACATGTTGCAGAATGAGGTCCAATGTCTTCACTAAAGAACCCATGCAGAACCACCTTTTTAAGAGTGCAGTATTAGGGTGCATTCATGTTTGGCAGGTTCGGTTGGATTAAAACGAGCCCTGGTGCCATCACTCTGTTAGTGTGGTTCATTAGAGCGAGTGTGCCATCTGAACTCTGGAGCACTAAATAAGCAGACCTTGACCCCCTGAGCGGGTCGGTCTCGGTTCGCTTTGGCGCGGTTTGTTTGAATTGTGAATGCTCCGCAGACCAAAGACATCTAAATGGACCGAAGACAGAATGAACCGGCGTCTCCTCGCTGCAGAACTTCTCTGCTTTGTGGAGAAGCGGTTCTGACTCGTGTGTAAACGGACAGTTTGGCTTTAAAAATACTTTCAAAGTTATTCTCAAACACTCCACATACACGTTTGACTGCACACGTAAATTACATTCTGTATTAATGTGCTGAGGTTCCTCCGTCCTGTAGAAGCAGAGAGCCACTCGAGGCTGTGAGGGATTTCACTCTGCTCCGTCGTAACCACGGTAACGCAGGGATGCTCTAATATCACAACACAGATAAAACGATGTAAATAAAACAATCGAGCCCAGATAGAACAAAGAACGGCACGATTCAGAAATCTCGAGGACACTATCAGAGTCACTGCACGTCATAAAATCTGCCCAGTCAGTCGTGACCCGTCACTCGTATGACTTTTACTCACATCTTTCGATTCAGTGTTAAACACGCCAGTGTGAACGCTAAGTGAACCAGAACTAAAATGCATCCCTTTCTGCTTTGATCCAGTCCAAGAAAATCCACCTACAAGCATAAACACACCCTACATCTCAATGAAATGTGGAAGTCTAGGGTTGCCAGACTTCTTTACATTCATTAATTATTCAGTTATTATGAATTATAACATATTAAATAATGCAGTTTATTCATTTTACATCATTTTTAAAACCTGCCAAACTCATCTGAGTAGTGCATATCATTAGAGTCTGTTTGTAATATTTCCATCTGTTGTAAAAACACACAGATAAAATTACTGTGTCATTTTCCATGATTCTTCTAATACCAAATGTGTACTATACTGTATATTATTCACTGTATACACTGATCAGGCATAACATTATGACCACCTCCTTGTTTCTACACTCATTGTCCATTTTATCAGCAACACTTACTATATAGGTGCACTTTGTAGTTCTACAGTTACAGACTGTAGTCCATCTGTTTCTCTGATACTTTGTTAGCCCCCTTTTACCCTGTTCTTCAGTGGTCAGGACCCCCATGGACCCTCACAGAGCAGGTACTATTTGGGTGGTGGATCATTCTCAGCACTGCAGTGACACTGACGTGGTGGTGGTGTGTTGTGCTGGTCTGAGTGGATCAGACACAGCAGTGCTGCTGGAGTTTTTAAACACCTCAGTGTCACTGCTGGACTGAGAATAGTCCACCAACCAAAAATATCCAGCCAACAGCGTCCTGTGGGCAGCGTCCTGTGACCACTGATGAAGGACTAGAGGATGACCAACACAAACTGTGCAGCAGCAGATGAGCTATCATCTCTGACTTTACATCTACAAGGTGGACTGACAAGGTAGGAGTGTCTAATAGAGTGGACAGTGAGTGGACAGTGTTTAAAAACTCCAATAAAAGAGTATCCATCGGCCAAAGCACTTTCCCCCAGGGTTGTCAAACTGGGCAATTTCCCAACAAACAGAACAAAGTTTGGTTGGATGTGGCAGGAAACAGCCCAACCTGGCAACACATCAAGCCTAAGATGTGCACTCTAACACTGAAACTTCCTCTGACACTGATGTCAGCGTGTGGACTGTGACCCTGTTGACACCTGGTCACTTCATGTGTCTAGATTGTATCCTGATAGGATTTTAGCCACGTGTGTTTACACTTGGTAGTCAAACGCGTCTCTGGTTAGTCGGACTGGTTAGTCTGACTGCTGTGTGACAGGATATGCAAATTTGTTCGTCACGTGGCAACCAAACACCAACTGTTTATTCTTTCAGCCTCGTGCTGCGCTGTGGTGAACGTGGCTGCTGTATCTGTCCATATCACTATTAAGCATTTCATCCCCAACCATGTGAGTCCTCCAGGATTATCTTCCTCACAGACACGGACCACACGCCCAGTGATGCACTGCATGGGGAGGGGATTCAGCTGTACTGGGAGGGGGTTTGGTTGTACTGGGAGGAGTTGCAGTTGTACTGGGAGGGGGTTTGGTTGTACTGGGAGGAGTTGCAGTTGTACTGGGAGGGGGTTTGGTTGTACTGGGAGGAGTTGCAGTTGTACTGGGAGGGGGTTTGGTTGTACTGGGAAGAGTGTCAGTTGTACTGGCAGATGTTTTGGTTGTACTGGGAGCCCCTGGGTTCACAGACAGGCCTGTGTGTACCTACTGACCCAGTGAAGAGAGGGGCAAGTTGACCTTGAAAGGTAAAGACTGGGTAAAACCAGTTTTGAGGAGTGAGCGCAACAAGCGATGGCCAAATTGATGGACGAAGAGATGCACCTATTAGAGAACGAGCTGATATCAAAATTTGAGAAGTAAGACGGGGGGATATCAAACTACCCCAGATAAATGGTATATAAACAGTTTGGGACACTGTATTTGTGCAGTTGGGTCTCTCTCTCTGTGCCACCTGAAGAAGCCTTTTCCCTCTTCCACAAACTCAGCGTCTGAAGACTCTTTCCTTTCTGAGATCTTTTGAGAATTTAGATTTAGAACAGTTATTAGTGAAAGTGTTTAGCCAGTATTAAGATTTATTTTTTATTCATAATATTATGTTGGAGGCCTGTGGTTGACACTGGAAGAGTTTTGGTTGTACTGGGAAGGGTTTTGGTTGTACTGGGAAGAGTGTCAGTTGTACTGGCAGAGGTTTCGGTTGTACTGGGCGGACTTTCAGTTGTACTGGGAGGAGTTTCAGTTGTACTGGGAGGAGTTTTGATTGTACTGGGAGGACTTTCAGTTGTACTGGGAGGAGTTTTGGTCGTACTGGGAGGAGTTTCAGTTATACCAGGAGGAGTTTTGGTTTAAGCACTAATTATGGGTTTTAATGCTAAAGTCAGCTATACTCCACTGTATTCAAATCCAAGTCAAATTTCTTTATAATGGTCCTATTTTCAAAATATTCTATTTTCAGTCAGTTCCATTTCTAAATGTTCATTTTCCAATCTCTCTTTATCCGTTAAAATGTTTAAAGTTAAAATGTCTGTTTTCGTTACTGCGCCTTTAAGATTTATATATGTAAATGAGCTCTGTTCTGATTGGATGCACTGTATTGGGCCTATTTGAAAAAGCAATCTGAGCTGAAACACTCCTCATAACCTCAGTGTGAGTGGGCAGGGCTGTTGGCCAAATAGGGGGATATATTTGAACATGTTGGTTTTTGTGATGTCACAAAAACAACAAAGTCAAAACAAACTGCTTATTTTCCACATATAGACTGTATGGACTGGAGAATATACAGTATTTTGAAACTTTAACAGTATTTACATACTAAATCACTAATCTTTTGTCATTAAAAACAGTTTTCCATGACATGGGCTCTTTAAGTGACAGAAACAGGTCACACAGAACGATGTAAAGGATTTGGCGCTCACCGTCACAGGGACATACAGTCTCTCCACTTGCTCTGCACTGCCGAGGTTAATGACAGCTCCACCATACAGTCCACACACTACACCCATCTGCAGTTAAGAGGAAGCACCGTTTGTAAGATCACATAGCTGAATGAGCACAAATGCAAATATACAGCCAGAACATGCAAATAACTTCAAGGCAACAATGCACACAGTTTACAACTGTTCTGCACATGCAGATGCATTAGAAAGAGTGGAGAGCATTAATGGAACCACAGTCAGGAACAGCCACCATACTTCAACTAGTCCTCTTCATTCCTCATGCTGTATTGCTGTAGTGCTGTGTCAATGCAGTGTTTCTAATTCTATCACAGATCAGACAACAAGCAGATCAGATAAAAAAGCAGCACCTTTACTCCAGTGGCCATATCTGCAGAGCAGATCAGCTCTGTGATCCCCATGCTCTTATTTATGAAACCTTTCTTTCTTCCAATCACCTACAGGTAACCAGGAGAGGACAGAGACAAGATATAGTTATTGTTATATGCGTGTTTAATACAGAGAGCAGCCTTCGTTTATTTAATCACCAGTCAAAACAGTCATTACGCAGAAGCCATTCATTTTAATCATTTCTGTGGACTGTCAAGAAGCCTCACTGAGAAAAGGAGTCAGAAGCTCAACAATGGACTGACCACCCCAGAGTCCACCTCAACATCACTGAATGTGTTTGATTACTTCAGAAAATGATCAACCAACCAACTAAGACTAAACTTTGGAGGTGTGTCTGCAGATTCTTTGAGAGACTGAAAGTGAGTCTCCTGAAAAGAACAAAGCTGGAATACAGGTAAAGAGTGACACACTAAACTAGAGGTCACTAATAGGCAGACCGCAGTCCGAGTCCAGACCCAGACGCTGTCCTATGTGGACCTGGACCTATAACCGATAAACTATGGAGAATTATTTAATTTCGACGGGGTGGTCCTATTTTAATCGGCGTAACTTTTCTAGCCTTTGCGGTGCTGCTTTAGCGGCCCGGGAGACTCAGACCAATCACGTGCGTTGTAAATATCACGTGACGCTACTTTAATTAAATACCCCTGCAGTAAACACTCGAACAGCTGATATTAGATTTAGTTGTTAAGGCTTTTGTGTGACTTTCAGTTTAATATGTGTTTCTGCTGTTTTTCTGAAACTGAAAAATGAATAACTTGTACTTAATGGCTGCTTTGACTACAAATTAAAAGACTTCTGCACAGTACTAAAACAACAACAACAACAACAACAGCAACAACAACAACAACAACAATAATAATAATAATAATAATAATAACAACTACAGACAGGTGATAAACTACAGAGAGGTGATAAATAGTGATTTAAAAAATTACAAATTACACATTTTAATTAATTAAAATTGGAATGGAAGTTTCTTCTGAAGAACCTTTTTAAAGTTTAAAGAATCTACACATAAAGGTTCTAGAAAGATGATTTGTATGGAAGCTATACATCGTGTTTAAGTGTTTTCACACTTAAATCTCATTTTCCAACATAGTTATTCCCTAAAGAATAATAAAAAAATGTAAACAGAGTGATTCAGAGTGGTTTGGTGCGAGATGGTTCAGATGTCTTTACAGTGGTGGTGATAGGAACCAGGGGTCGCCATGACTACAACACATATATAGACATTTTATTTACTATCCAGAACCACCAGTGAACCTACACGAGTCTTCTGAGTCTATATGGAATGTTGATGACGGAAAATAGTGGAAAATCTGAAATAATACGTTTTCTTTGGGGACTATTTTGCCTCACAGCGCCCTGCATGTATCCCTCCACCATGAATATATTAAAATCAATAGATTAAAATACATTTTAAGCCAAATGTTTATGAGAAACTATTATAAAACAGTGTCTCAGACATCAGGCAGTGAATTCATAACCATTCCAACTTTCTGTGAGGGAGCTTTTAGAGGTGGACGTCTGGTTCCTATCACCACCACTGTGAACAGTTCTGACTCTGTAAGTTTCTCTAGAACAAAGCGTTTCACACCAAACCACTCTGAATGACTCTGTTTGTATTCAAAATTTTTTAAAAGATTAGTGGAAGTCCCCTTTAAGTTACTCTGATATGTTTTACTCCTTCTCGCAACAAATGTTTACAGAGAAATTCAACCAATTTTTAAAATTTTCTGCATAACTCAGTGTGTGAGATGTAAACAGAGTGATTCAGAGTGGTTTGGTGTGAAATGGTTCAGATGTCTTTACAGTGGTGGTGATAGGAACCAGGGGTCGCCATGACTACAACACAAATATGAGTGGGCGTCTCGTTCCTGTCACCACCACTGTGACCAATTCTGACTCTAAAAAGAGTACGCTTTCACATCTCAACCATTTCCTTATGCAGAAATGTAGGAAAACGGGTTGAATACCACTTTAAGTTTTTTACTCTGATACTTTTTCTTCCTTTAACAACATTTCTACTTGTCTAGGGGTTTGAGCTGCTCTACCTCTGCATGCAACACTAGAGAGGAAACAGCATGAAGTATAACACTGGTATTGCTGGCTGTATGCAAAGCATAAGCAGCTCAGTGGTTTCTCTGGACATTGCTCTTTTACCTGATCACCGAGGTGACGTTGCATGAGGGGCAGTTTAAGCACGAAGTGCAGCCTCTCTGCGGTCAGGTCTCTGATCTGATCCAGGCTGAGCCCGTAGCTATCAGTGACAATCAGATGAGTCGGGTCAGGTCAAGAGGTCTTTACGGTCATTCCTCTATATGACTTTATATCACTGCTGTCGGGACAAAATCGTGTATCTCCAACATGGTAGGATTACAGGAGAAGGAAAAAAAGGGCATTTTGAGTGGAAGTTAATGGAACTAGATGTTTTTCCAAGCACTTTTGGAGCATTTCTGTTGGTTTTGTGTCGACAGCAACGAAACATTGGAACAAAACGTAGTTTTTCAGGCCCCAAACACACAACAGCAGCACACTGCACACATTACACACTTTATACAGGACTACCCAGAATGCAGATACACAACAGACTGCAGAATATGCAACCCCAAATTTTCAAAAATTTGGGATGTTGTGCAAAATGAAAATAAAAACAAAATGCAATGATGTGCAAATCATTTAAAGCCTATATTTCATTGAAAATAGTACAAAGACAACATATCAAATGTTGAAACTGAGAAATGTTATTGTTTTTTTTTAAATATATGCCCATTTGATTTTGATTTTGAATTTGACGCCAACAACACATTCCAAAAAAGTTGTGACGGGGCAACAAAAGGCTGGTAAAGCTGTGTAATGCAAAAAAAAACCACCTGGTGCTTACTTGACAACAGACATGATTCTGTAGTGGAAATCACTACGTGGGCTCAGAAACACAGTTCATCACTGCATCTACAAACGCAAGTTAAAACTGTAAAATGCAAAGAAGAAACCAAATATAAACAGGATCCAGGAACACTGCCACCTTCTCTGGGCCTGAGCTCATTTAAAATGGACTAGGGAAGTGGAAAAGTGTCCTGTGGTCCAATGAATCAACATTTGAAATTCCTTTTGGAAATCATGGACACTGTGTCCTCTGGACTAAAGACCACTCAGCTTGTTATCAGTGCACAGTTCAAAAGCCAGTATTCATGATGGTATAGGGGGCATTAGTGCACATGGCCT